GCCCTGCCTGTGGCACTGGAAACCGAAGCTTCCTGCCAGTAAGAAAGACAGCCCAGCCCTCCTGGCCCCACCTGTGAACTGGGGGAGGGACGGTGCTATAAAAGGCTCCAGGCAGGGAACAGAGATGCACAGCAGTGACTTGGGGCTCTCTGGGGAAATCTTCTCACCTTGGTGGTGGCCATGGGAAAGAAAGTGGCTGTTGTACTGGCTGGCTGTGGAGTGTACGATGGGAGTGAGGTCCATGAGTCTTCTGCTGTGCTGGTGCACCTCAGCAGGGAGGGGGCACAGGTAAGAGGGTCCTTCTGCATGGCTCTACTTATCACTCTCTTTTTCTCCCTTGCAGAAGATTCTTTGCTCTCAGGAGCTTTGCAGGAGCTCCCCATTGCTGCTGGGCATAAGTGAGCAGAGTTAAAGTGAAGGGTGCAGTGTGGAAGCTACAGCAGTGGGTGTGGAGAACTCCTTGCTCTTTGCTTTGCTCTCCCAGCTTTGCTCTGCAGAGGCATTGGCAGAGTGCTCTGYGCTGAGCGTGTCCAACCTCTGAAGCAAATTTTCCTAAACCTGCTCTCTGTTCTTTTTGGCTGGCACTTCCTCTTCTACTACTGTTTTTGACTTTTTTTTWAAAATACACTAAAAAAGAAAGAAAATTAGCCAGCTAAAATAGAAGCTGGATGACTCTTCATGAGTTAAACTTCAAAATGGTTTAAAGAAGGCAACCTGTAAGAAGCCGCTTGATATGCAGTTAATCACTATAGCCACCCTGCAAGGGGAAGGGGAAAGCTGTGTGTAATGTTATGCTGAGCTCTGAGCCACCCACAAAACTTTCTGAGCCTTTCTCTTGGAATCAGCACTGCTCCACTGACTATAAAAATGCTGGAGTGATGTAAGAGCTCTACGGAGCTCAATGACCCCACCCCACAGTCTCCTGGCTGTATGTTCTCAGGTTGGATTAGAGGTCAGATGTGTCCCATCCCTCTTCCACTACTGTATTTTTGCCTCTCTTTCCTCTTTAGAGCTTCTGCAATTTCTTCTCTCCTTTCACAAGTGCAGGCTTATACTGTGATTGGAGGGGATATCTACTGAGGAAACTTGCGTGTTCCCTTCCCTTTCTCCTCCTTTTTTCATCTTTTTCATCCTATTTGTTTAAGAAACTAAGCTTGCACAATCACAAAATCCCTTGATCTATTTGCTATTCTCAGCCCTTAATTTCTGTGTGCCAGCTCAAACTAGCTGTAGAGAACTGGAAGCATTTTCAAGGTAATGAAATCTACTGGCATTTGGGAAAGTGCTGGCTGGAGGGAGGAACTCCAATCTGTGGTTTGAGGGAGGCACAAGGGGCAGCCACTTGTTGGGCCATCAGCAGCTGCACAAGGAGTGACCAGCCTGTAGGTAGGAACCTGTAGATGGAACCATCTCCTCAGGGGCAGTGCCCAGCTAGGTGTAGGGCAGTGTTGCCTCTCACTTGGGGATAGATAGGGCAGGGCTAGGGCTGTTGTTGCAGTGACAGTGGCTGTTTGGAACACGGATAACAACAGCCCACAAAAGGAGCTTCATGCCCTTGGAGCACCTTGTTTTCTAGGAGGGAAAGCAGTGCTTTCCCTCTTTCCCCAGATTCAGCCCCACAGAGAAGCAGTTGGGGTGGGATTCTTGGTTTTTACCTAATATGGTTGTCCCTGCAAGGTCAATACAAGGATTCCCATGCAGAAGCTGCAAAAGAACTGTCTTTCTCCAAGTAACAGTAACCTTCCCTCTGCCAATGTTGGGTACCTCTGTGTACACCATCTCTGTGTTCTCTCTGTGCACCATCAAAGCTCTTTCCTAATGGGAATCAATTGCAATCGCTATCTGTGGTTTTTACAACATTGCCTAAGATATGTCCTCAAAGAATAACTTATTTCACTCTCTGTTTCCAGGCAGAGGTTTATGCTCCTGATRTGGACCAGATGCATGTCGTGGACCATACAAAAGGACAGCCAACTCAGGAGAAGCGCAATGTGCTAGTTGAAAGCGCCAGAATAGCCAGAGGCAACATCAAGGATCTAGCTAAGCTGGATGTCAAGGGACTGGATGCCCTAATCATACCAGGTAGGACGGCACTGTGGTCTGCAAGTTCAAGGTTCTAGACTGAGTGATCTCTAGAGTCCCTTCCAACGTCAGCTATTGTGTGATTTGGTGGAAGGGCTCAGGACATGCCATGAGCCTTGAATGATATGGGCTTTGTGGCCTGGAGAACTGGGTGGAACCATTGGAGAAGAGGATAGTCTGGAGGAAGGAAGGAAGGGATTGAAAGGAATCACCCTCTGSCATCTATGCTGGGCTAGTATATTTGCTTGGACTTGTGCTATAAGAGCACATGGCAATATGGAAGCRCACTCCTAAAAGGAGAGGACAGATAACTGTTGATTGACTTCTTATTCTTTGCACCATATACTTTGTCTCTACTTTATGCAAAGACATGTCTACAGTATCCCCTCCTACACTGACTTGCCTAGCCCCTTACTAGGAGAAGCTAGGACAGACAAAAAGTGACACAAATGGAAAGCTTGATTGCTCTGGCAATTTGTCTTTGGTGGGAATATGGCCAAGTGACTTCAGTGTTGATGCTCCACCCCTAGAGCAAGAATTAAATAACAAGAAAAATCTATAAGCAAGCTTCACCACAATTCTAGAGGGAAGAGCATGGGTGACACAGAGGGTAATTAACAGAGTATTGATATCTGCCCAGTTCAGTTCTGTTTAGAATCAATAAAGGTGCTTTGAAGACTTCAGATCAGGAGCTGAAAAATATGCAGAGGCTCACAGAAGTGTAGCTTGTATATTTTAGTACTTTTGTCAACACTGGGCAAAAACTTCTATCCAAATCCATTTCATACCAAATCCATTCTATCCATTTTCTCCAGGTGGCTTTGGAGTGGYTAAAAACCTGTGTACTTGGGCCACCCAAGGAAAGAACTGCATCATCTCCAAAGAGGTGGAAGACATACTGAAGGCCTTCCATGCTGCCAAAAAGCCCATTGGCTTGTGCTGTATTTCCCCAGTACTGGCAGCCAAAATCTTCCCAGGCTGTGAGCTGACTGTTGGGCATGACACAGAATGTGAGAAGTGAGTAATTGCAAATACAGAGAGATGATACACCTCAAGATTCACCTCTTGAACACTATATGATCACATCTCCYCCTCAATGTACACAGGACCCTAGCTCTTCAGTCTCTTTAGCCCCAGGGTAGTCCATCTCAACAAGACCGCGTAGGTCTCTTTAAGCAGATGCTGGGTAGCAGCTTGGTTGCACAACATTTGGAAGTGTTATGAGATGGAGGAGCTTAAACTGCCCTTACTCGTCCATGAAAGTTGGATCAAAGCTGGCTTTGTGTAGGATTTGTAATTTAAATTCACTGTAATCTGGAGATTTTCCTGTTTAGTTCTATAACCTCTGAGAAAATCCTCTGACCAAAAAAAAAAAAGGGATCCCATTGATCTGGCTTTCTATAGGGACCACTGATTTCTTTGTAGCAGCTTTGAAGCTGTTGCCAGGAAGCACTCATGGGCTTTTCACTCCATGACTTTGTCAGATCTTTCCCTGAAATGACAGTTTCTCCTCTCAGTGTTTACTCTTATTCTTATAGATGGCCTTATGCGAAGACAGCTGAGACCATGAGGGAACTTGGCTGCAAGCATGTGAACAGACACGTCACTGAGATTCACGTGGACATGAAGAACAAGCTGGTGACCACCAGTGCCTTTATGTGCAATGCCCCCATTCATGAGATCTATGATGGTATTGGAAAAATGGTCAAAGAAGTGGTAAGACTTGCCTGAATGTCACAAAGCTGAAGTATCCAACTCTTGTGGAGTGTGGGCACTAAGCATAAGATAATGTCCTTTCCCCTTTACACCCACAAATCAATAAGAAAACCGCTGCTCAAATGGAGTAGCAGAACTCCCAACTGAAGCACTGGCTGCTGAGGAGGGATAAACTGTAGCAGTGTAGGCATTGATGTGACTTGCCAAGGACAAACTGCTTAACTTGGCTATAAAATGGCAATAATTAGACTGGCAGTGTGCATGGAACTGAAATGCAGATGCCAGCTCCCCACAGGGCTGAGATGCAGCCATTGCCTTGGGTTATAAGGAGCAGAGGAAGTGCCTAGGTCATTTTAGCCATGCCTGGGCTGACCTGACATATCACATGCAAATGGGAATTTGCCCCTTAAGATACTTTCATATCTATCTTTGCTGGTTGAAAGCTCCCCAAACACTACCACCTCACAGAATGAATGTATTAGTGGCCAAAAGAAGAAACATGATTCTGCTACTGAATAAAAGTAGACACTTGAATTCTCCTTGACTGAATGACATGCTTTTATCTTCATATTGTACTCTACAGTAGGAGGTGCTCTTGGTGCTAGTGGATGGCTAGTGAATGGGGAGAATGGTATGGGTACAAACCCCACTTGCTTTGCTTGGAGGCATCAGAACTCAGACTTGGGCATAAGTACGGAATCTGATAGTGAAAAGGAGAAGTAGATATTCTGGACTCTCCATGCTGAGGGGAATAACTAAACCACTATGAGCAATGTTGAGTAATGAGCATGATTGAAGACTAGAGCAGGTTGTCTGAAGAGGTTGTGAAGTCTCCATCCCTGGAGATATTCAAAATCCAACTTGAAATGGTCCTATGTAATCTGCTGTAGCTCACCCTTATTGAGCAGGGGGTTGGACAAGATAGTCTAGTCTTGTGCTAACAGAAGACCTGTTATGATAGAATGGAATATTTAGGAAGCAGCCATCCATACTACTCCTAAAGGGCTTACCGAAACAAAAATCATTTTGACTGTTCTCTTGCAGGAGTTCAGGAAAGGTAGAGAAGTTTCTGACATCAGTACTAACTTCTGAGAGTTATACAGTTTTTTTCTGAGCATAGTTTATCAGGCTGAAAAGCAGCAGGATGTAAGTACAAGAGGGAGAATTTCAGTCACTTGCTGGAGAATTTGGACCAATTTCAGACTTTAGAACCAATTCACACACAGAGCTAGTAACAGCACCATTTATTGGTATGTGAAAAACTGCTTGCAATAGAGCACAGAATTTGACCCCAGAGACAAAAACATTCATAATATCTTGCCTAGAAAAGGCAATCCACTGAGCAAACTCAACAAAAGCTAAGGAAGTTGGAGAAATGTGACATAGAAGAAAAAATGTCACATAGCTATGGGTCAATCAAGAGTGAGGATCTGCAGGAACTCATGTTTATTCACTTGCCCATCTCCATCCAAATCTGCTTCATCAATCATTTCCTAGGGGAGAGCAAAGATTTAGAGACTAGATTAGGTGGGCTGAGAGGGTGAAGATCCAGAAAGCCTGAACACCTCTTAAAGTCTCAACCAAGGCTTCAATATAATCCCAAGTGAGACAGACTGTGTATTAAGACTTAGAGARGAATGAGAAATGAGAGCAGCAGTGGTGAGTTGTGCCTTGTAAAGTGACATAGAGCTTTCCTGCCCCCACTAATGTTCCTTGCAGGAAGGCACAGCCCTCCTTCCCCGAGTGCAGCATAGGAGGAAYGTGCTTGTACTTCACAAACCTGCAGCTCCTCATCTGTGATGTCCTCCCCAATCTCAACAGCCACCAGCTTGAGTTTCTCAAAGGAGATCTTGCCGGTGCCATCACTATCAAATAGCTTGAAAGCTCTCAGGATCTCCTCTTTGGAACATTGTTCTGCCTTAGCAAGGAAATGGAAAACACCACCATACAAGGATGACATTGTTTTGCTCTACAGTCCCCCCTTGAGCGCTTTAGCTAGCAAACATTTGGAATCAAAGCCAAGCCAACGTTTGGAGGAAAGCATGGTCATAGCAGAGAGTTATTTACCACTGCTATTTCATATTTACTTTTTTTTTTTCCTTTTTTTCTCCCATGTTACTACATATTAGAAAGCTGTTTGAACAGCATGGGAACTTGGCTGGGAATATCCTGACCATGCTTTGTCAGGAAAAGAGGGATTAGTAAAACTACTGGAGGAAGAAGCAGTTGCCAAAGTGAACCCCTGGCTGCAGCAATATTTCATTTCAGAAGTCTTCCTGTGCTCCAGCCCTTACTCTTCTTGCTCCCAGGCAATAAGCTTGGGTGTGGGCTTTGCCTGAACTCTAGAGCATTACTGGGGGGAAGCTTGGATCTATGAGTACATCTTAGCGGGGGTCTGCAGCCCAGTAACTATGACTGCAGTGACAAGGGAAGAGCCATTCCAGTTATGGTCCAGTTACCTCCTGTGCATCCTATAGAGCCTTGCTATGAAACCACAAGGATGACAGAGGAAGGACCAGGCAAGCTTTTCTAAAATAGCCTTTGTCAATATGCAGTCTAGACTAGAAGGTGCAGAGAGGTGTTTGAGCCACAGGATTCTCAGAGCCAGGAATTTGGATAAGGAAACCTGAATCAGAAGGCTAATATTAAACAGCACTCTTAGTACACTCCACAAACTTTAGGGGCTGTTGCTTGCAGGAAGTACTGACTGCATCAATGGGTTGTGAGGTATGATTTCTCTATGGATAGTGATTCTTTGTGTTCATCTGACATATGACATTTGTTGACCACTGTTTTAACAAAATCGAAAACCTGAGGTCTATAAGCAAGGTACTGAAATTTCACGTGTAAAGGTTTAAGGAAGGGAAGGGGGCAGTATCAATTCACACAGTGCGTTGGCCTTTGCAGTAGTTTTACTGCTAAAAGATGGATCCTTTCCTGGGTTGTTCCAAGTCCTCCAGCTTCCCAATGAAGATCCCTGGTGCTTTGTGTGCTCAGCACACTCCAGAATGGGGAGGAGCTGTCTGCTGAAATGMAGCTGTGCTCTAGCCAAGCCAGCCATTCTGCTCCCTGTACAGTCCAAGTACAAGACAGGAGGGCTGAACACCCTTGGGCAGGTATCTAAARTAGCTCAGGTAAAACAAAAAAGCTCATGTTTCTCCCCCGCAGGGAGCCAGGGTGACCCAAACTATTTTGGGTACCTGCACTTTAAAGTGGGGCATGGGGAATCTCASTTTTTGTGACTGGACAGGTTCACATACCATTTTCTGAGTCATCACCTTCAAAAATGACTCAAAGTTTATCATCCCTGACCCATCCTCATCAACTTCAGAGATAATTTTCTTCATCTCTTCTCTCCTGAGGTCACAGCCTAGAGCTGTCAGGGGTATCTGCCAAAAGAGAAAACAAACTAGTGCTCATCTTGGAGGACAAATCAGCGGCAAAGAAGGCAAGATGCCTGAAACAACTAGATATATGAAAGTGGAGGGGAAGTACCAGAGCACTTTGCTGCAGYGGAAATTACATGCAAAGATAAGACCACAGCCTGTCAACACATAGACAATGGAGCCAATCCCATTCCCATCTGCTCCTTATTCCCCTGTATCTTCCCCTGCCTGAAAATTAAAAATTATKTATTTTAAATGGCCCAATGGCTGGGAAATGCTTAATGACTTAATTGCCTTCAGATCCTTCACGTCAATTTGTCCCAAGCCGTCGGGGTCGAGCAGGTCGAAGGCATCGCGCAACTGCTGCTTCTGCTCCTCGCTGAGGGGGAAGGCGGGGGGCGACCTCTTCCCCCGGGGCTGCCCCGCCGCCGCCGAGGCGTGTTGCTGCGGGACAAAGAGCCGCGGRGCTCGCGGGAGGGACCAGGGCCGAGCTCGGCCCAGGACACTGGGATGGAAGAACGACGARCCCCGCCACGGCTCTCACCATCCCGCCGCTCCGCCGCGCTGTGGTAACTGCGCCTCTCATTGGCCAACGCACCTGCTCCTCAGGGGRAGGTGCCAGCCGATTGGCCGAGCCGCTTGCTCGCTCCCGCCCCCCCGCCAACAGCAGCCGTTGGAGCCCCGCGGGCAGGGCGCGCCGGGGAATTCTTCTTATTTTGTAACCTGGGTATTTTACCACAGGGGGGCACCACACAACGCGGTGCAGGAATTTTTCTTCTACGCCACGGTGTTTCCTCTCATTTACACACAGTGCGAACGGAAACACATGRAATTTCTTTTCTTTCTTTCTTTCTTAAAAAAAAAAAAGGGGGCTTTAATTGAGTTTGGCCTATACCGTTGTAGTATTCACTTATTTCTGATGTTGAGCTTAATTTTTTACTTTTCCCATGTTCTCGAGTTGTGGATGTAAACTAAACATTTGGTGGCAGCACTGGGAAAAGRCAGATACTAACTCTGAGAAGTAAAAAAGCAGATTAGATTTCTAAGTCAGGGAAAGGCTACACTTTCTGGAAAGGAAGAATCTCTTATTCCTTTGCCCGAGAAGAAAGATGAAGGAATCCAGAGGGATTACTGTAGCAAGCAGAAATAGCAGGAAGTCATGACAGTTAGGAGAGGCTGCACGGCCCTTTCCTTGTGTCAGGAGGCATCAATTACACACTTACCTCAGATAGCTGCCACTTCAAGACAGAATATACTGCAGCCACTGCTTCTGTAGTGAAATGTTTTAAAAGTTGAAGCTTATTAAAAAAAAATCTGGAAGAACTGTTTTGTTTGCCAGCAAATCGGAGTGAATGCTGCACCTGCTGACTTGTTTGTATTTTTGTATACATCTTTCCACAACTCTGATGGCATAAAATAAGAAACTTTATTTTAAATACAAGCCTACATTTGAAGCCACTGAATATTCCCCCAAACATATAAAACTTTAATAATCAGAACTGGTAACTTTTTTCCTATTTTTTTTTCCCAGAAATCTCTTCAAAATTCTGAAGTGAATGGCAATAAATTAATTTGTAACAGACTATCTACTTCATTTTTTTTAAGAATATATTAAAAAAGGGGAAGGGAATAACTGGAAATGACCTCCATAAAGCAGAGTAAAAAAAGCTGATCCCTGCAAATACATCATACAAAGAATTCACTGTAGCTGAGTCCAAACCAAAGACATTAAACAAAAATGCCACCTCAACTCATGGGAAAACACAGATTTACACTATTTGTTTTTCAGATCGCTCTTAACCAAACTATGCATTTCATACATGGTTTTTAGTCCTATAAGAATCTGAATGCTGTCGCTGAAAATGTGATGTTTCTAAAACATAACGGTGTAAAATCTTAGAAGCACAAACAAGCAACAATATTTCTACATGTAAACAGTTTAGCCGTTAGTAGCTGTACAAATACATGAATTTATGATCAGTGACTTATAAAAGAAAATGACCTAACTTATTTGTTGTCTCAAAAGAAATAAAAGACAGGAGACAAAAAGTGAAACACCTACCAAAAGTATACACACAAATAAATAAAACTGAGTTTCAGTAAAGGCTGGTCTTCTTCATGATCCGCAAGAATTCTTGCTCATTCACTTCCCCATCCCCATCTCTATCTGCTTCATCAATCATTTCCTGAAAGACATTTGTATTCAGAAAGTAGGTTAGATCCATTCACACTGGAAGGGAAGACAGTTTTACCTCAATGTTAGACCCACCAAGTTACAAAGAATTTACTAAATCAAAGAATTTACTAAATTTACTAAATATCAATAAGTCCATATAAAAATAAACATGCATACCTATGGAAGGGATATTTTCCTAACAGCTCAAGTATAAGGATCCCTTGGGATGGTATAGAAAGCACCTAAAACAGACTGTTGCCTTTACCTAAAATCTCATTTACTCCAAAATTGCTTCCTTCCCCCACTAAAACAAATTCCCATTCCTTATTTTCACTAGCTCTAGGACTTGTAAAACCTTTCAGAAAAATGGTTCAGCCCTCTAAAGAGAGAGAAGATTAGATTCAGCGACTATAAAGATTTTAGAATAATGAAAATACGAAAGCAAGTAATACATTAATATTCAGTGTCTGCTACACACAGAGGCAGCCACTCTGTCTTCATGCATGATATGGTTTCATATGTATGTTGTGCCAGGTACAAACCTGCAGCTCTTCATCGGTGAGATTTTCCCCCAGTTCTTTAGCTACGCGTTTGAGGTTTTTGAAAGAAATCTTGCCTGTTTCATCATCATCAAAGAGTTTGAAAGCTTTGAGAATCTCTTCTTTGGAATCTTTTTCAGCCTTAAAGAAGTAACCATAGGTTTTGGAGGGGGTAGTGGGAAATGGTTATCTTACAGGTAACACTCAAAAACTGCAGCTATAAAATACTGACATCGAGAAAACAACAACAGCAACAAATAATGTAATGAGGAAGTGTACATGTAAACACTAAGTAAAGAGAACCTTACAGTGTTCTTCCCTTTACACATACTCAAAAGGAGTTGTTAAAGAAGCTTATTAATTATAGGATTCTTTCAACCTTAACATAAAAAACATGACAGGGTAGTTCTCATCTTGCAATTAGTAACTTTTACATATTTTGTTGTTAAGATTAAGGTAGTATCTTTAGCTAACAGTAAACCCAMGGGAATGAAATCAATTTTGAAAATTGCCACAGACTTTTCTCTTTAACTTTCAAGATTTACATACCATTTTCTGTGTCATCACCGCCAAAAAGTCATTGAAGCTGATTTTTCCTGTTCCTTCCTTATCAATATCTGATATCATTTTCTTGATCTCTTCTTTTTTTGGTTCAAACCCTAATGCTCTCATGGCTACCTGCAAGGAAAAACAAATTAGAAGTGATGTAAAATTGTCAGAGAAAGAAGGATAAATTCTGAGAGCAAAAGAGTCCCAGGTTATCAATTGTCCTCCTTCCCAAAGCAGGGGGTTGGGGAGGAATAGAAGACCTAGACCCATGAAAACAAAGCGTATTGGTGCATTCTACAGCTTGGATAATCCTAACCAATGCAGTCCTCAGCAACAATTAGCAGGAAAGTAAAAGGATTTTCTTTTTTTTCTTAATATGCAGGAAAGCTCTGTTTTTGCTAATATGGAAGGAGATAAACAGGGAAAACGCAGAACAGCGTGTTTTGGCGGGCCTGTTTCCAGGGCTGCTTCCTTGCCTTCAGCTCCTTCACGTCTATGTTGCCGGTGCCATCCGCGTCGAAGAGGTCGAAGGCCTCGCGGATCTCCTGCTTCTGCTCCTCGGTGAGCTCCAGCTTGGCGCTGCCCTTCTTCCTCGGCGCCGCGCCGCTCAGCGAGGCCTTCTTAAAGCTGGAGGCCTTGGCACAAGAGCAAAGGCGGGTCAGGGCGGCGGCGGCCGCCGCRGCCCCTCCGCTCCCGCCGCACTCACCATCCCGGCGCCGCTAGGGAAGCTCCGCTCCGGCCCGCTGTCAATGCCGCCCGTCCCCATTGGTTAGAGCCCCTACGCCGTCGCTATGGCAACCCGCGGTGCCATTGGTGGAGAGCTGAAGGCGGGAGGCGCTTGGGTGATGGCTATTGGGCCTGCACGTGGACGGGGCGGATCTAAGGGGGAGAACCGCCCCGCCCTCAGCGATCTCGATTGGCCCAGGTGAGGAGGCTGGGGCCAATCAGCGCGCCACAGCCGTCTGGCGCGATGCTGGGCTCAGGCGCGCGGGAGGAGCAGGGGCCATGGAGCGCGGGGAGAGGGCCAGAAAGCTCGGCGTTGATTGGTAGCGGAGGTGGGCGTGGCCKCAAAGGGGCGGGACCCGGCGGTAGGTAGCGGCGCGGGCTCGGTGGGAGGCGGCGCGGGCGGGGGGYTCTGAGGGAGCAGGGCGGGGCGCTCCTGAGGGGCGGCTGAGGGACCTGCCGGGGGCACCTTGTCGCTCTCCACAGCTACGCGGAAGGAGGTTGTAGGGAGGCGGGGTCCGTCTCTTTCCCCAAATAACTACTGCTAGGACAAGAGGAAGCGGCCTCAGGTTGTGCCAGGGAAATTCAGGTTGGATATTGGGAAAAATTTCTCCTTGCGAAGAATGGTCAAGGCTGCCTGGGGTAGTGGGGGAGTCGCCATACCTGGCAGTGCTCAAGAAATGGGTAGATAAGGCACTTAGAGACATGGTTTAACAGGCACGATGTGGAAGGGTTTACAGGTGGGCTTGCTGATCTTGAAGGTCTTTTCCAACCACAATGATTCTGTGATTCTAGGCATGGGGCAGTGATAATTTTATGGCAACATCACCCTTTGTACTTGCCTGGCTGTACTCCAGCTGTGTTGGCACTGGTGTTCACAGCCATGGGGATGAAAGGGTTCAGGATCTGCTCCTGCTGAAGACCAAGTGGGACAAAATTTGTCTTAATGGCATTCTTCAGTACTGTGAATAAAATAATATTCTTCTCTTTTATAGAAACTTCATTGGTTACAGTGAATCCTCTGTAAAATGGCTGCACGCCTCAGATTGGTAAGTGGAGGATTTGAATTTTTTTTATGAAGGTTTGTCTTATGCAAATGTRTTTTCATAGATAAAGAGAAATGCCCAAGCTGCTCAGAAGGACAGTGGTTCTGCCACTGCTGACAAATCAATAGGTCTGGAGATTCCTTTACSACAGTGTCATTCCTACGTGCATTAAAACTATTCCGTATTCTAACACAGAAGCCCAACTGAAGTCCATGTTATCTGCTAGACCTTTGTAACCTCTTCTACACCTCTGTCACCATCTTCTGTGACTGTTAAATGCAGGAAGTTAAACATGGGAAAAATAACATTTTACTTGGAGAGCTGTTTAAACTCCATTAGGAGTGCAGTGTACTAAGCACAAGAATTAAGCTGTTCTGCTGCTTTCCTCTTGTTTCTGAGGAATGTTTGCTTCCTGGACTATTTTCTCCTAACCTCCTTAAGCTTACAGAAGGCCAGTGAGTCTCAGATAATTAGAAAACAAGCAAACAAAAAAAAAAAAAAGGTAGCATCATATTAGAAAACACAAACGAGCTCTTTTATGCTCATAGCACAACRTTACAGGCAGGTAGTAATTCTTATCCTAAATTGGATAGTAAAGCATGTGCAGCCTGGTTTTTTGCTTGAGTTTAACAGGGTACTTGGTGGTAGGAGGTGGACCTAAAAGACAGTAGACTACTTCACGTGCAAGTGGTGAGTTTCTGGAATTAGCTGATCTGAAGGCTGTTGAGATGGATGTGACCAGCCGGATCAAGGAGTCAAATGAGTACGTGGAGGTCCAGAAGTGGATGGTGAAAGGAAAAGACAGTGCTGGCTTTTCTGTCACTTCTAATACATTTTCTCGTGGATTCTGGGGCACTACAGTGGCAGTGAACTGCAGGAGTGTTTAATGCTCTAATGCTCTTTTGGCTTATTCTCTTCTTTTTTAACTGTCAAACAGAATTCAGGACTGTATGGACCTCTGGGCCAACACAGTAGATTTTCTTTTGTCTAATGTTTGTAATTAGAGTGAGATTGCACGTGCCATTCCAAATAAGTTACATTTTAATGTGAGTGAATAAGACTTTTCTCATCTATGGATGTGATATCAATGGGTAATTGATACTTCCCAGCAGAATCTTTGTTTAAAGATGTAGCATTTGGAAAGTTTCAAATAATTGCAGCCTTTGTTTAAATTCCCTTCGGYTCAGTAGAATAACTGCAGAGGTGGAGTTTGTGTATCAACAACAAGGCAAATCTATTTCCAACCAGGATAGAGAAGRCTTTGTACCAAAGCTTTTGCAGGCTCATTGCTTAGATATTCTCTCTTGCTGGTGAGGTTTCCAGACTCATTCTAGTTAAATGAGTGACCAGACCAGATTCTGTTAATTAGTAACTCTAGTCATTGATTTTAATAATCTTTTTAAGAGAAGGAAGAAAAAAGACTAATGACTAATAAATAAAGGATTACCTGATTGCTTGCTTGGCTTGGAGGAGCCCTCATCTCACATTACTTGGAATGGCTTTCATGCCGTGTGGCTGAATTAGCTCTGCTTTACCAGCAGTGCAGAGTTGTTTGCAGCCAGTCATCTTGCCTCCTGGGTGAGCCAGTTCATTATGTGGCACAATCCTCCTGAAATACAAACCACCACATTGGTGAGGCTGAACTCTAAGTTATTGTGATGGTACAGACATGCTTGAAAAGTCTTTTCATATCTGAACTTGGATTCCTTCAATCAACCTAGTTACCGACTTTAACAGCTGTGGTTGTGCAAGATTCCAGTCCATAAGATCTTGGAAAGTTTGGATCCAAGTTAGTGTGTGTGGTGTGGGGTTTTTTGTTTGTATTTTGTTTGTTTTTCTTGTGTGTGTACTGCTTTTTTGCTATGACACTTTTCTTTGCCGTCTCTGCAGGCCGGTAGGAAATGCGCAGTGATCGGTGGTTCGGGATTCTTAGGGCAGCACATGGTGGAGCAGCTCCTGGACAAAGGCTACTCGGTCAACGTGTTTGATATTCGGAAGGGCTTCGAGAACGAGAAGGTGCAGTTTTTCTTGGGAGATCTCTGCAGCAAAGAGGTACAAACTAATAACAGTAAGGGAGCTGGGTAAATGGGAGGGATGTCTGTTTAAACAAATGCTCGTTCAAACAGCTAGCCAAGCTTTTCAGGTTTTAAGGGAATAGGTGGCCATATATCCCTCTCCTTAGCTTTCTCGGTGAAGCCAGTAACTCTGAAGAGTTTTCTGTGGAATATTTAAGCAAATATGTGAGGCCTGCTTGGAGGTGACAGGAACAGAACTTATTTGTGTATTTCTGTTACTGTGAGCTCAGTTATACAGTCTGATTACTGCCACTGTTGGTAATAGCATGTAGGTGCTGCCTTAGCTCATCTCAGTGGTATGAGAGTGGCAGGGTGTGTTATTTTATTTTTCACAGTTAAGACAGGTTAAGACTTCTTGGACACTTRTGCCTTAATTCAGTTTTGCATATGAGCCTTAGCAAAAATGTTTGTAACCAAATGAAGAGCCAARTCCTCACTAATATGAGATACTGGATCTTAGTTTTATGGCAGTCATCTCAACAATGGACAGTGCAAGGCTATGGTCAAAAGTTAAACCTGCTGTATGCTAGATTTCTTATTTATTTATTTATTTTTAATATCCTATCTTGGATCTCGTGGCTACCTCTGATGTTCCTGGAAATAGCTATCTAGATAGCTCACAGGTCTCAAAATTCCCATATTGCTCTTTGGAAGAAAAGGATGTGGCACAATTTTGCCTAGCAAGAAGGATAGGACTTAGTGAAAATGTTCTGCAGGGATGATCCCATTTCTGCTGCTCACCTTTGTGAAAGAAATGTGATCTGAAATTTGAATGAGAGGGGAAAAAAAAAAAAAAAAAAACGTGTTTTATAGGCTTCCGTCTCTCAAAGTAGACACTGTTCTTGCTGTTTCATTATTGTCTTTAACATCTGCCTTCCAGGCCTTGCTCCCAGCTTTACAAGGAGTATCAGTGGCATTTCATTGTGCATCCCCAGCGCCTTCCAGTGACAACAGAGAACTATTTTACAAGGTGAATTTTATGGGAACCAAAACAGTCATTGAAGCCTGCAAAGAAGCTGGAGTGTCGGTAAGGGTATAACTCACGTGGGGACTGTAAGATGCTGATGTGGCTTTGCAGCTTTTGAACTATGGAGCAATTTCAGTCCTTTTGATAGCAGGGCAAAGCTTTCRGGGCTGCTGAATTCCTATTTGTTCCATGCAAGTAAAGAGAAGCAAGAGACTGATGTCCCACTGGGAGTGTGATGTAAGCTCCATCCCTGCTGGTCACAGAAAACCTGCACATCTCAATTTCCCTCTGCAGGAAAAACATTCATTAGAATCTGTCATAGTAGACACCTGGGAATTCCCCCAAGGCAGGAAGACTGACAAGTGGATTCTTTCATGCCTTCAAAAAAAGGCCAACTGTAAAGATAGTTTTTTTTTTTTTTAGAAGTATTCATGGCATCTATTACTTAAGTGAATTCTTTGATGTGTTATGGAGAAGGAACACATTTGTGTCATAGTCTCGGTATAATTCAATTTAGAAAGTCATTTGCCTATAAAAGCTAGAGGAAAACAAGATGCTGTTCAGGCATGTGGGTTTTTTCTCGTTTGTTTTGTTTTCCTTCTCTCTCTCTCTCTCTCTCTTTCCCCCCGCCCCCCCTTTCTGGCAGCACACGAGTTGTGCACCAAATTTTAAAGCACAGTATATGTGAAGGTCCCTAACTTTCGTCAGAAATGTTACTTGTAAAGCATGTGTTTTGCAATGTCTATATACAAGTATAGAGTTGATTAATATTTAGAATTAAATGATATACGTCATTTAATATTTAGAATTAAATGATATACGTCATAAAGGACCCTCGGTCCACAGTTTTTCCTCTCATGTGGTAAGTTGTAGGAAGTGGGCTGTGCAATGTTTACCCCTTTGCTTAGTCTGGGCGTTGTCGAAGCAAGAGCTAAGTCTTGTCAGAACTTGTTGGATCCACTCATCTTTATTATGATGTTGTTTAATACCTCCATGTTTCTGATTATTCAAATGAATCGCTGACTTCCTATTTTGAATCTTGTAGGGTACGGTGTTATATAACAAAAATCCATGATCAAAACTCCTTTTTGATTTTATCTGATACAGTATTKTTATTGTGAAAGTGAACAGATGTGTCTTAAAAGCACTCACTGTGTATGAATTTAAAATGTGTCAAGTCAAGTGGCCATTCAGCTTTCACTGGAGATGTTTCCCTCTTGACTGATTGCACTGGCAGCTTGTTGAAATGTGTACTTTATTTGCTTCTGAAGTGTTTTGTTACTACTTTAATAAGATTTCTTGCTCTTTCAGGCAAAAGTTTGTTTCCTAGTTTGCTTTAGGTAGTAGCAACTATGTCATAATTGMAAATATGGGAGTTTTTGTACCTGAATTTTCAGATATTAAGTTAACCCATGGTCTTTTAGACTTGTTTTTTTCTCTATAAAATCAATTGATTCAACATGACTGTCTTTACTCATGCTCTGTAAATAATGATCTTTTTTGTCAATTTTCAAACAATTGCTTTCTTTCGCATCTCTTGCAGAAGCTAGTGTTAACTAGCAGTGCCAGTGTTGTTTTTGAGGGCACAGACATAAAAAATGGAACAGAAGACCTCCCTTATGCAAAAAAGCCTATTGACTATTACACAGAAACAAAGATCCTCCAGGAGAAGGTATTTGTCATGATAGATTTAACACTCTTATTCTTAATGCTTCTAACTGACCTCCCTAAAATAGGACATCCGCTGAGGAGTGCAACACTCTTCAGCATCAGACAGATTTTTGTTATTCTACAGAATCTGTTTCATCAAAAAGTCTCACATTCTAATAGTAATGGCAATGGGCATGTGTTTCTGCTAAGATTCTCAACAAATTTCTGTGGAAAAAACAAGATAATATAGAAGTAGACAGTGATAAGGGCATGCTAGCTTAATAACATGTGATTAGGTATTTCTGTTGCCCCAAGCTGAAAATATTCTTGTTACACTAGATTTTTTTTAAAATACTTTTTATCTGAATGGTCACTACTTCAGACATTTGCAGATCACAAGCATCTGCTCTGCTTTTATAATTCATAATACCATACCAGTTATATAGCATGCCAAACAAATGCTTTTTTCAGTTGTTTACACTTTAATTGTGAACCTCTACCCTATTTAATGATGAATTAGGGATGTATTGCTAAGCCAAATCTTTCCAACCTTTTCTCTTGATTTGATTATGTTTTTTTTGTCTGCAGGAAGTGCTGGGAGCAAATGACCCAGACAACAATTTCTTCACTACTGCTATTCGCCCACATGGAATATTTGGCCCTAGAGATCCTCAGCTGGTTCCCATCCTCATCCAAGCAGCTAAAAGTGGCAAAATGAAATTCATGATTGGGTAAGCAAGCCTGAATAAAACTCAAGGCTTTCCATTAGTGCCATTTTCACTCAAAGTTATTTAAATACACTTTCCTCATCCAAGTTTTTCTAGTGCCATAAAGACCTGTGTATCCCTTCCAAGAAAGAGAATAGAATAGCAATTCAGCCATGAATGCCAGGAATGAGAATTATCTTCAGAATACTGGATTATAACAATATTTTCATGGCAAGAGGGTGTAATGAGGGCTTCTAATAAGCAATTCTGTTTGAATTTAATTGGACTCTTGGAAGTGTTCTGTAGATTTATTTTCTAATTCTGTGTAGATGTAGAYTAAACATTTTGGATTAAAATGTTTCTACTAGGACTGAATTGGCTTATTGCAGAAGTAAGTTAAAATTTCATGAGCCAAGAAATTCATAATTGAAAGCTTGTCCTTAAGTGATGCTATGTGCTAGTTACTGCTCTTCTTATTTGGATCATTCTTCTGAGAGCTCTAGAATTYGAGTGAACACCTAGAAATTTGGCAACATGCAAGGCTTAAAAAAGAAGCAGGCTTAAAACTCTTAAAGGAGCAGAAAGTTGAGGGTCTCGCTGAGCTGATACAATAACAGCTTTGACACAGTTACAGAGTAAAGATGTAGAGGCTTCACCTGTCTGACGGGGTATGGTCTGAAACTGTGGCCCAACAGATGGGGAGAAGAAACTCAAAACAAATTTATGTTGCATGGAAAATCTTTTTTGCCAAAACCAAATTTACAGATTATTTTTCATTAAACTGTCTTTTTTTTCTTTTCCTCCTTTGCAGAGATGGAAAGAACTTGGTAGACTTCACCTATGTGGAAAATGTGGTGCATGGGCACATTCTAGCTGCAGAGCATCTTCAGAAAGATTCTCCCCTATGTGGGAAGGTAAGAGAGGAACTAACAAGTAGTAGAGGAGTGGAAGTCATCTAGCCAAACTTCACATGAAATCCTCACCTGTTTCCATGTGTCTGCTCTGTAGTTAATGCTCATTTCATCTGTATTTAATATCTTGGAGATGGGTGGAACTAGCTCACAGAGCTCCATCTTTTCTGTCTRTGAATATGATTGGTTGTACATCTAGTGACTGTTCCTGGCAAGCCTGAAGGCCAAGATGTATGAATATACTTTAACTTTCTTCTGTAATGCTCCTTATGGAAGGAAATCAAGGCAAAATTCTTGGCACCCTAGATATGTGCTTCAGAAATGTAGTCCCTTAGYTCTTGCAATACAGTTCAGAACAGCAGAAATTACTAAAGATTTTCATATTACCACTGTGCTCTGTCCACATGCAATATGTACAGCCAGGATGCTTTAGCTTTAGTGGTTGCATGGTACCATATGATTTGTATCGCTGAGGTCTGTAATCTCAAAGCAGCTAGTTTTCTTAACAAAGACGAGGTCTGTCCCTTTTCAGATAGAGGCAATTTGTGAAAATCAGTTTGTTTTGGAAGCCTTTTTTCATTCAAGTCCAGAATATCAGTCTCATCAAATTGAACATGAGTTGGGCAAGCACAGAGAAGAGCTTATGCAGACTGTAACATTTTTATCATCTGGCTTTCTGTCTTCCTCTCTTTCAGGCATTTCATATCACAAATGATGAACCTGTTCCTTTCTGGGCGTTCATGTCCCGTATCTTGACTGGCTTGAACTACGATGCACCCAAGTACCACATCCCTTACTGGCTGGCCTATTACCTTGCCCTCTTCCTTTCTCTTGTGCTGTTGTTGCTAAGTCCAYTGGTCACCATCAAGCCCACTTTTACCCCTATGCGGGTAGCACTGGCTGGAACTTTTCACTACTACAGCTGTGAACGGGCCAAGAGAGACATGGGCTACAAGCCAGTGGTGAGCTTGGATGAAGCGATAGAGAGGACTGTCCAGAGCTACCCCCACCTCCGCCRGGCTAAGGCCTGAGAAGTCCTGGGGGGATTTTTTTCTACTTGTTTTTCCACTGATTTGGCAGATTAACACAGAAGCAACCTTCACTAATTCTTTGGAAAAAGGAATCCTCCCCAAGTCCCTCCTCATCACAATCATCAAGAAAGATCTCTCTAGATTGAAAAAGAAACTTCCTATAGTAGCTGTCCAGTAGTCCAGTAACTGGTTGTTCTGAAACAGGTGCTGAACCCTGTGGGCTATGGCTGAGCAAAACACCCTGCTGTGCCCGTCTCAATTCCAACCTAGCAAATCAGCATTCCTTACTCCTCTGTCTMCACCCTTGCCCTCTGTTTTGTTGCTCTGGTGATTCCACCCACCTCTGCTCATAGCTGCAGATTGGGTAACAAAAAACTTACAACTAGTTCCGCTCTGTGGTTTGGCCTTTTCTATGAAAGAGAAGCTCCTTCCAAAAAGGAGTACTGCCACCATTTCCTTTAAATTATTGAAGCTGATGTTGTTCTGGAACTGTTTTTGGATTTCTCTCTGATTAATGGGTGATTTGACTACTTTGTAAGGTATGAGAAGAAAACCTGAAGAATGGCATGCTAGGCTTGTCCTTGTAAGGAAGCCTGTGCCTTTGTCTTTTGCAGAAGCCTATTTCTATTCACAAGTAACACCAATAAATCAAGAAAAAAACTATTTCCTAATCTTTTGTTCCATCTTTGAAAGGGTAAAATCTGTTCCGAACAGCTTGGCATAAATAGGATTTTAGTCTTATTTTAGTCATTACCTTTGGAGCAGGAAGGGGTGATGGTGGATTCCTGCCCCCCCGTTCCTGCTGTGGCTGTTGTCAGTTGGTACATACTATTTTGTCACAGTTTGTCCCTCCCCCTTAGAGATTACACTGTAGGAAAGATCTTGCCACACAAGGTTGCGCTTTGTCTGATGTGCCACCCTCTGATACTGGTGATTTGCTTTGACCATTTGTTGGATAAAAGACTTTCCGATGAGAAAATGGGTACCATAATGCTGTTTCCCAAGCTGTTTGGTTTATAGCAAGTTTGCTTTGCCCCATAATCTTGCTAAGTGCCTCAGTTTGGCTTTCTTTATAAACAACAGCTTAGGTTAGGGTTGGAGCTGTGCTCTGTTCCAGCTCCTGTCTCTCCMGGAGTCTTGGCACTTCAGATGTGAAAATGCATAGGAGGTGCCCCACTGTGTGCTTGGACTGTGCCTACTTCAATGAGCCCTAACCTCCCCTAGGAGCTCGTGTACTGCTGCAATCCCATAGAAATGAGTTTCTTGACTTAAAAGCAACACTCACGTGGTGGAGCCTTGCCTGGCTGAGGGGTTGTTTTTCTGCCAGGGCTTTGTAAAAGGCCCATCTCGCCTGCTTTAAGGAGGGAGGAAGGGCCCAAATAAGTTCATGGTTTGGTCTGGGAAGCTGGGCTCAATCCCAGTGTTTGAAATGCACTCAACTGCTGTAACACTTCTTATAAACAGGATTGGCCCTGTGAAAACAGGTGATTCAAGCATAACTGTGCTATGTGCCAGAGAGGTGCTTGCTAAACCCAAACTGATACATACCCACAGCCCTGGGGGAGCGAATGTTTGAGCTGAGGGGCTCAAACTTGGTACTTTGCTGAAGAACATAGTACTGCCCKTGGGAGTCATGCCGCAGTGCAGCAGGCAATGCTGGCAAATCTCAGCTTTGTGCCATGTAACATAGTGGGGTCCACCAGGCCCTGTCTACAAAATAAAATTAACYGCCCTTTCTTGGAGAGGGAGTGAGAGAATGGGATGCAAGTTACTTGGGATGTTATTACCAGAATGCCATTTTGGCCTCTAGATGGCAGTTCCCAGCTAGCTAGGTTTGTCTTGCGGCTTCAACCAGCCCTAAAAGCCTGTTTCTCAATCCCTGGGCATCTTTCAAGGGGAGCGGGGTTATTCATATCCCTSTGCCCTGAGAGAAGTGTCAAGATAAGAGGTGAACAACACCCCCCAGTAGGGACTACAGAAACAAGAGGCACTGGAAGTTCGAGTCTGCTGGATAGAAAGCAGCAAAAAGGCAAAAGGGTTTTCTTCCCTTCACGTGTGTGTTTGATCCAACAAGAGTAAATTGGCGGTTTGCTTCCACAGAGGTGAGTGGTTTCCCAGCGTCGAGCACGCTGAAAGCAGCGTTGCATCATGCTGAAGTTGGTTTGACTTGGTACTCCCTATATAATTAGGTCAGTTCCCAACATTTCTTATGGGAGTCGGACTAGCTTCTGTTTTCCAAAACAGAAATAAACCCGCATTGTTGCTGTGCTGGAGCCTGATGTCAGCATGTCTCTACCCTGGCCATTCCTGAGGAGAAACCTTGCTTCATCCATAGCCTCTTCTGACCCTGACCAAACTTCCCCCTCTTGGCTCATTTCCTTCAGCAAGGATCTCCCATTTAAGCCCTATCTTGCACTTTCAGTGCAAACCTATTAGATTCTTTTGTGCTTCTCTTTATATGAATTATTTGCAATGCTTCCTCGTCACTGYCTGCATCTTTTGGAGGTCGATGATAGGGCACAGAAAGCAAAATTGCCATTGCCACATGTTTCTTTCAAGTATCTTGGGTCAAATGCAGTTGCAATCTGCCACTGGCAGTGGTAATTCAATAAGAGCTGTAGGAGGCTTCAAAGAATTTCTTAGAGTGCTCTTGTCAAACTCTTTATCTCTGTAGTGTTGCTTTTCTGGCTTTTTCTTGCTTCACTGACTAGGCTTGCTGATTGGAGGCATTTCTTGGTTTGAGGAGTGGTGAGAGAGATAAAGGAGATATCGTCTGCAGCTTTTGCTACAGAAACAGGAAAGAGAGAGGAAGAAAAATGCTTTTTGTTAGTTCTAGGTRGAGTTTAAGAAACTGAGGACACCGGAGAGATTGCAAAGGCTACAGGAGCCCCGGAGAGGGGTGTTACAGTCAGAGAAGTGTCTTGTGGTGTTGCCCTTAGTTGGGCTACTGGGAAGCTCTTGTCCAGCTACACCTCATGGCTGGGAAGGAAAGCGATGGTTTCGTTGTAATTGCTTGAAACAGGTAAGAGGAGCAATTGATGAAAAAGCAGAGCAGGAACTATCCCACAGAGAGGCATGGAGCAAATTTAAGTCAAGCCTGAGAGGAGGATATARAAGGCTTCAGGGTGGAGGATGACATCTGGATGTCGCTGGCACATGATTCAGGTATAACCATGGAAGCTCCCTACCTTTGAACCCTTAAAAATAGCAAGACGCTCCATGTCACCACACTGCTCCGGTGCAGCCTTTTATGAAACTCCCTATGTAGCATCTTTTGCCTCTGTAGATCCGTGCATGCATTACTCAGATCTGCTGACAGCTGTGATCTCCCAGCTCCGGAATGACTTCCCACACCTTCTAGCCCTGCAGAGCCAAATATGGCATGAGTGGGCTGGAGCACGGCCCTGGCGAGAACTGCTTACCCAGTTTCGCTAATGCTTGTGCAAACTCTTGCAAAGTGCCAGGCCCACAGGTGTAAGCGATGGTGCAACTTGTCACTGCTATGGGAAAAGGAAAGGAGCTTGTTTGTCTCGGAGCCCAGAAGAAGCCTGCTGAGCTGGTGATGAGAAATAGAGAGGCATCTCTCTACTTGCAACAGGGCATATTTGAGGTGGTTTTGTGACCAGATTGCACATGTTTTACTGTCTTAATACCATCCACCTGGCGCTATAGCCACAGCTTTCTTTATGCCTTGAGTTTGCTGGCAAATCCATCTTGTCTTAGCCTGGCTTTCTCTGTAGGTGTGTCGTTATGATCATGGGCGGATTCCTGGTGAGATTACTGTATTTTAGCACTAAATCGCCAAGCGTATACGATTCTGTTTTGCTGCCTGCTATTAGGGAGGTGAGGTCTGGCATTTTGGCAGTGCTTTGTAATGACTCCTCATGAAAAACCAGTTTGATTCCCTTGCAACAAATGGGTGTAGTGACTTTACGCCCTTCTACTCATCACAGCTCTACTCAGGCTCTACTGAGGCTTTGATTTTCTGTCACCTTGGCGAAGGCCCCAAGGACTGATGGATTTGTGACCTTCTTTCTACCCTCGCTGCAAGGATGAGGGCTAGCAAGTTACCCRGGAGAGCGTGTCATCCAAAAGGACTGGAAATGTTCCAGTGGAGTTCCATGCCTCTAAGTGGTGTTGAGTCATATTTCACAGCTAGAAAAGACTCTGACTCTCAGAATATGTTGTACCAGCTGTTCCAACACAGGCCGTGCYGGCCAGGGAGATCGCGYGCCTCGCCGGGCGGAAGCCCCTGGYGGGATCACGGCGCTGCCTGGGCACCCGTGGCCCTGTGCAGCCGCCTGCCTGGCCRTGTGACGGGAGCAGCTTCCTACCCGCCAGACGTCACGGGTTCAAAAGGTGCGTGCGCCGCACCCGGCGCGAGCAGCGCCCCGCAGGGTTGCGCAAGCTGCTCCCCAGCTCGCGGGCTCTGCGGCGCTAGCAGCGCGCTCTGGCCGCAGGGAGCTTCGAGCAGGCTCGTTTTCCCCTCTTGATAAGCGCAGCACGGGTGCACTCTTGATAAGTGCAGCTGGCCAGACCTGCCGGCCTGATGGTGCTTGCTGTCAGCTCGTAGGCAGTCGCCCTCTATGACCCAGCTGCTGGGGTTTGGCTAAGCCAGCCCTTCTGGGAGAGCTTCTGCAAGAAGTGCAGAAAGGATCTGCTCACGTTTCAGAGCACTGGCACTGTTTAGTGCCCACTGCTGTTCCCCAGAAAACCCCAAACCCAATCTCCTGTTTCCAATTGGAAAGAGCCTAGTTTGAGTGTCGATGATCAGCTTTCCTGTTTTTGTTTCCTGGATACAAACTCCTTTCATATATTCTCTTCCAGAGAATTTTCCTACACTTTGGTCAAATCATCTGTCTGTTTTTTGTGGAGCAGCCTAAGTCCTTCAAATCTTTTGCTGTCTGTGAAGCATCTCTCCAGTCTGCAAGTGGTTTCTGTGGCTGCAGCTTCCTTGTGTGAGGCAATTCTTATGTTTCACTGATCCCCAAGCTTTGCAATGCACTCAAGACTGTAAGGGAGGCAGACAAACAGTAATGAAACACACATTAACCAATGCTGACTGTGCAGGATCGCTATGATACACTTGAATTTTTCTTTTAAAGAAGACACAGGGAATCCATTTCCTGGGGAAACTCAGATACTTCGGACTCAGATTTACCTTTGGTTGTTACAGAAGGCTTCCCAACCGGAGATGGAGAAAAGGAGCCTTTCAAAATCAGATTCTTCCCTTCCGCCCTGCCACGGGAATCTCTGCATGGCCTTGGAGAAGGTAGCGTCAGTCAAAGAGTGTGACAGACGTTTCCTCCTGCCTGGGTTGGGCTGCAGAACTTCTCCAGCACAACCGGATGGCAGCATCTGCCCCACCTTTGGCTAACAGCCCAAAGAGGTAGCCAAGATCTGCGGAGAGATGGGAGTRTTTTCAAGCCAGACCCTCTATGCATAGGCAAACAGCCCCTCTTCCATTCTGCTCCTCTCCTAGTGAGGTCAGAGGCTTTTCTTCTGCTGCCTGAGCTGCGTGTAGGGTTTGCTCCAGGTGAACTCCCTTCAGCTGTGCCTGGTCTTGCTGGCGGGTCTGTGTTTAGTGGCTGCATCCTGCAGCGTGATGCGT